CCTGGAGGGCGTGAGCCACGTCATTGTGGATGAGGTGCACGAGCGGGACGTGAACACAGACTTCCTGCTGATTCTGCTCAAGGGCCTGCAGCGGCTCAACCCGGCCCTGCGGCTGGTGCTCATGAGTGCCACAGGGGACAATGAGCGCTTCTCCCGATACTTTGGTGGCTGCCCCGTTATCAAGGTGCCTGGCTTCATGTACCCGGTCAAGGAGCACTACCTGGAGGACATCCTGGCCAAGCTGGGCAAGCACCAGTACCTGCACCGGCACCGGCACCACGAGGTGAGGGACATCCCCATCCCACCCAGGGCTCCTGGTCTTTCCTCCGTGGATGCCCCTCCTCCCTGGCCCTGGGGCTTGGTGGCCTGGGGCAAGTTACCCTCCCCAATCCTCGGTTTCCTTGATAGAAAACTGGGGACTAACCCTGCCTGCGTGGCACGCATGTGAGGACTGGAGTTGATGTCAAGCGGCTCCGTCTCACTGAGTCAGGTGGCTGTGTCCTTGGCACGACCCCTTACCCCGGGGCTGTGACTGTGGCCTCTCTTCCCCCACCCCAGTCTGAGGATGAATGCGCCCTCGATTTGGACCTCGTGACTGATCTGGTTCTGCACATTGATGCCCGTGGGGAACCAGGTGGGTGCCTCCTCATCTGTCCTGTGCCCGCCCCAGCTCCACTTGGAGCAGCAGCCTGCTTATGCCACAGGGCTCCTTTACAGGTGGGATCCTGTGCTTCCTGCCTGGGTGGCAGGAGATCAAAGGAGTGCAGCAGCGCCTCCAGGAGGCCCTGGGCATGCACGAGAGCAAGTACCTCATCCTGCCAGGTGAGAGCCCAGGTGGAGGGACCAGGAACCTTCAGAAACCGGCCTGGCCTTTGTCTGGGGACTGACCCAACTGGGACTCCAGGGGCCCTGGTTTCTGACCACGCTGTGGCATTTTTCACTGGACAGTGTTTATCTGCGCCTGTTTCATCAAACGGGGTCAGAATCCTTGCCCTGCCCGCATGCCCGGGGAAGTTCTGGTGGAATGGTGGAAGCAGTGCCCATTACCAGTGTGTGTCTTGCCCACCAGTGCACTCCAACATCCCCATGATGGATCAGAAGGCCATATTCCAGCAGCCTCCAGTTGGGGTGCGCAAGATTGTCTTGGCCACCAATATTGCTGAGACTTCCATCACGATCAATGACATCGTGCACGTGGTGGACAGTGGGCTGCACAAGGAGGAACGCTATGACCTGAAGACCAAGGTGGCACCTGCCTCCTGGGCCCAAGGGGAGGGACTCTAGTTTTGAGGTGGTCCCCAGCCCAGCTCTACGTTAGACCTGAAAGTGTCTCAAGAAGGCCATGCTTGTGGGGTCTCAGTGTCCCTGTCATGGGGGAGTGGTGAGGGTTATTCAGGGAGGGAGGAAGCGCTGAGGAAGTGGCATCTGTCTGTTGCTTACCTGCCCCCTCCCCCAGGTGTCCTGCCTGGAGACAGTGTGGGTGTCAAGAGCCAATGTGATCCAGCGCCGGGGCCGGGCAGGCCGCTGCCAGTCAGGCTTTGCCTACCACTTGTTCCCGAGAAGTCGGCTGGAGAAAATGGTCCCTTTCCAAGTGCCAGAGATCCTGCGCACGCCTCTTGAAAACCTGGTGCTGCAAGCAAAAATCCACATGCCTGAGAAGACGGTGCGGTGGGGCGGGGGCTGTCCTGGGGGGGCAGGCTCATGGCAGGTGGGAGGCGGGCTCATGGCGGGCTCTGGCTCTGTTGGTTGTAGGCGGTGGAGTTCCTGTCCAAGGCTGTGGACAGTCCAAACATCAAAGCAGTGGACGAGGCTGTGATCCTGCTCCAGGAGATCGGTGTGTGGGGGCTGGGCTGGGCTGAGCTGGGCTGGGGAGTGGCCCTTGAGGGTGGCACTGACAGCTGAGCCATTGCAGGGGTGCTGGACCAGCGGGAATACCTGACCACTCTAGGGCAGCGCCTGGCCCACATTTCCACTGACCCTCGGCTGGCCAAGGCCATAGTGTTGGCTGCCATCTTCCGCTGCCTGCACCCGCTGTTGGTGGTCGTTTCCTGCCTCACCCGGGACCCCTTCAGCAGCAGCCTGCAGAACCGGGCAGAGGTGGACAAGGTCAGTCCCAGCCCCTTCCCGGAGCCCTCCACCCACTAGTGTCCTGAGGCAGCATTGTCTAGCCCCTGCCCATGACTGGGCTACCCTCTTCTCCCCTCCCAGGTGAAAGCATTGTTGAGCCATGACAGCGGCAGTGACCACCTGGCCTTTGTGCGGGCTGTCGCTGGCTGGGAGGAGGTACTGCGTTGGCAGGATCGCAGCTCCCGGGAGAATTACCTGGAGGAAAACCTGCTCTACGCACCCAGCCTGCGCTTCATCCACGGTCAGCCGGTCCCACACCTGCTCTCCTAAGCCCCTCCCACCCCTCCCACCCACACTGAGCTCCTGTCACCCTCAGCCTGTGGCTAGGGGCTCTAGGTTCACCGCACATTCTGTCTCCCTAGGACTCATCAAGCAGTTCTCGGAGAACATTTATGAGGCTTTCCTGGTGGGGAAGCCCTCGGACTGCACTCTGGCCTCTGCGCAGTGCAATGAGTACAGTGAGGAGGAGGAGCTGGTGAAGGGTGTGCTGATGGCCGGCCTGTACCCCAACCTCATCCAGGTGCTGCCTCTGGGAGGGAGTGTTCACCAAGTTCCAGCCTCCTTCCCTGCCTGCAGCTCCTTGCTCAGCCACACCCATCTTTTCCTCCATCCCTGCAGGTGAGGCAGGGCAAGGTCACCCGGCAGGGGAAGTTCAAGCCCAACAGTGTCACATACAGGACCAAATCAGGCAACATCCTGCTACACAAGTCGACCATTAACAGGTAGGGGCATACAGGCCTGGGTGGGGCAGCTGGGATGGTCCAAAAAAGTGGCCTCACCAGCCCTGTGTTCCCTAGGGAGGCCACGCGGTTACGGAGCCGATGGCTGACGTATTTCATGGCGGTCAAGTCCAATGGCAGCGTCTTCGTCCGGGACTCCTCTCAGGTGCACCCGCTAGCTGTGCTGCTCCTGACCGACGGGGACGTGCACATCCGTGGTGGGTGCCTGCAGGCCTCCTGCCCGCCCCGCTCTGCAGCTGCTCCTCTGGGGCCTGGCCTCACCACAGCTCCCTACCGTCTTTTCTGTTCCCTCAGATGATGGGCGCCGGGCCACCATCTCACTGAGCGATAGTGACCTGCTGCGGCTGGAGGGCGACTCACGCACTGTGCGGCTGCTGAGGGAGCTGCGGCGGGCGCTGGGCCGCATGGTGGAGCGGAGCCTGCGCAGCGAGCTGGCTGCACTTCCCCCCAGCGTGCAGGAGGAGCATGGGCAGCTGCTTGCGCTACTGGCAGAGCTGCTGCGAGGACCCTGTGGCAGCTTTGACGTGCGCAAGACAGCTGATGACTGAGCCCTCCTTCTGCTGGGGCTGTGTACAGAGTGCAAATGTTTATTTAAAATAAAGTTCTATTTATCCCTTGTGAGCACTGCTGTCCACTAGTGGGTCCTCTCTCAGGGCCTGTGTACACTGGGCCACGGTTCCCCAAACAGGAAGAAGGCAGGTAGGTAGAGAGGAGAGATGTTTATTATTGCTGTGGACAGGAGCTGGCTGTGGCCCCAAGTCTTAAGAAGGGGGTTAGATTGGACACGTCTTTGTAGCAATGTGTAAGAAAAGAAAAAGGGGGGGGGTTACAACCTCCCTGCTTTGTCAAGAGCATGAAGCAGCTGTGCTGTTGCCCAACTCAGTTCTCTGGCACAGCTGCTGCTCTGGGTACCCACCACAGGGAGCCTGTCAGAACTGTCACTGGCCTTGCAGTTTTTTGGACAGTAAGTAAGTGTCGAGTAGCTCTTTACCTGGCAGACGGGGGGAGAGTTCTGCAGGTGGCTGAGGCCCACTTGGACCTTAGCTCTCTGGCTGTGTGGCACAGTGGTTCTTTCTTTCCGTAGCCATATCCACAAGTTCACAGCTGAGGGGCTGAATGCAAAGGTCATGGAGATCACGTGCACACTACATTCCAGTCCGTCCCTTGATGCAAGGGGGTGAGCCGAGGCAGGAAGATCAGAGAGGTAGACGCAAACCAAAACAGAAGCGTGGAGCCTGTGTGGCGGGACATCAGGCAGCTTTATTTACTCTTAAAACTGTTACACAGAATCACAGACCGACACAGATAATGGCTGAGCCATAAGCAAATTGGGAAGTATAGAAACATCCCACCCCAAACAGCTGTGGAGTACACATCACACAGGGCTTCTGCTCCCAGCCTTCTCGGGTGCTCTGGTGTGCAGGATCCTTTGAGGGAGCTATGACCAGATGACCTCTCAGAACTTGTGACCACTCCTGCAGCCCACCTAGAGAACACTCCACTTGGGCCACCTCCTTCCCCCTAACTCTTGGTCAAAGGAGTGAAAGGACCTGGAGCCTGTCATCAACCTCAGCATCCTCATGACCCCAGGACATACGCAGCAGAGGCAGCAGGTACTCGGCCTGTGCTGTCACCCCTGCGGTGTCTCCTGACCACCTGACTCTTACTGCTTCCTTTCTAGTTTCAGCACAGCAGGCCCTTCCTCCTGCTGACAAAACACTGGTTCCCTCGTGTTCAGGCACAGCGGAAGCGTTCTGCACATGGTCTCTGAGGAGGAAAGCTGGTTCCTGAGGCTCAGGCAGCACTTCCTCCGTGAGACCCTGCAGTTTCCTGGTGTGTGCCTGGGGAGCTGGGGACGTGGTGTCAAACCTCCCTAAGGCACTGCTGCCTCAGAAAGGGGAAGGACGTGTCAGGCCCAGGGACAGTCTCTCTGCACATGGAAATCAAATCCAAACCTAAGTCAAGACCCCTACCTTCTCCAGCTCCAAGGGACACCAGGACCAGAGAAGGGCAGAGGTCAGGAAGGGGCCTGAGGCGGCCAAGTCTGGGGCATCCTCAGGGGGCAATCTGCACTGCAGCCAATGCCCCTCCAGAGAAGCCCTTGGAATCTCCCAGGCCATTTCACTACAAACCTTATGTTTTAATCCTTTATTAGAAACCATGCAAACTTTGATACAAAAAAATACAAGTGCAATAAGAATCTTTGTGTCAATACAGTTCCCAGGATTTCTCACTGCAGCCATCCCAAGGCCTAGCTGGGACGCCCTTTGCGGGCCTGGCCTCTCCTCCCTCCCCTCTCCAGTCAGGGCATTAAGGGAAGCAGATGGCCTTAGTCTCATGCCTTTTTACATTTCCAGACCTGATTTCCCACTATCTGCATGAGGCTCCCCTGGACATGAGGGCTTGCGTGTCCTAGGCTGCGCGTGCCGGCCTGAAGGAATTCCATCTCCTGGGCCCTTTCCTGTTCTCTAGCCCTGGCTTTGTATCCTAGGGCTGACCACCACCAGATTCAGGGAATGGGGCAGAGATGCCAAAATCAGCCTCATGGTTAGAAAAGAAAAGCAGCATACACACAAAATGGCAAAACAACCAACCAGTCACCGCTCTAAGAGCCCCTCGTGTGCCTGACCCAGTCACCAGCCACAGCCTCTGCACTTCCTGCCACGCCACCTCCAGGGCCCTAACTGCCCACATCCTCCAGTGGGGTCAGCGTAAGGATCGCCTTGCCCTGTTCCCTCTAACACTTACTGAGGACTTTCACGTAGACATGGCTTCAACCTGCAGAACTATTTTGCCAGTTTTTAGGTTATTAGAAAAAAAAATAAAAGGACAAAAGAAAAAATGTGACAGCAGCTAGGTGGGTATGTTAAGCATGGGGACAGCACTGGCCCCTAACTTGGGGCAGGGCAGCAAGAAGGGCCTGATACCACCTGCGGGGGAGGGGGGGTGCCTTTTTGAGGCCAAAGGGAGAGGCAGTGGCTTAAGCCCCAGGGTCAGCGTCCTGTCACCACTTGGAACCCGCCGCCACTCTTCCCTCCAGGTAGATCCAGGGAGGGAGGGCATGTTTCTTTTGGGTTTGGACCAAAAGAACCAGACAAAGAGGAGGGCAGAATCTGGTTCTCCTCTCCTAGATCCCAACTTAGCCTCAGCCACTCCAATCCCCTCCCAACCTCTCCGTGGAGCAGTGGCGCAGTGATGGGACAAGACCAAAGCAGGGAGCTGGGCCCAGCCGGGAGTGAGAGGTGTGGGCGGGGCGGCTGCTGCTGCCCCAGGGTGCAAAGCAGGAGGGAAGGCGAGCCTAGCGGGCTGCCTGGCGCTGGCTGCCTGGCACCTAAGCGCTCACTGATCTAGTGGACAGCCCGGGAAAGGGGGCCAAGGACCCGAGAGCCTGAGTTGGGGCCACCAGGGAAGTGTGGGGGGCGGGAGACAATGTCGGCCCCATGGTCGGTGCGGGCCCTGGCGTTTGCCCGGAACGTCAGCCTGTAGGTCTCAATCTGCAGTGACATGGGAGGAGGGAAGGGAGAGGGGAACAAGGGAGACAAGAGGGGAACGGGGGAGACGGAAGACGAGACCAGAATGTCATCATTAGATGCCTGGAAAATAAAAAGTTCCATCGTTAAAATTTAGGCCATACTCTAGTCAAAAAACAAAGGAGTTTCAATTTGCGGCCAGTGGCAGGGCCCCTGGCTGGCCCTTAGGCCGAGCCCAGCCACTTACTTGTCTCCTGGATCTGGCTGTCCAAGGTCTGGGCCTCCCTTTGGTCACCACCCCCTGACAGGGTGGGGTGGCCACTGAGGCCACTGGCTGAAGTGGGGGCGCCAGCTTCAGGTGCTGCCTCAGAGATGGCCGGCTCCTCCCCAGCAGGGGGGCCCGGACACAGAGGAGCCTCGCTGCCACCGCCCTCAGTCTACAATGAAACAGTGGGGGAGACAGTGCAGGGTCAGTCGGGGGGGAGTGGGATGGGGTGATGGTGGTGGGTTTGACACACAGCCCCCACCCGCGCTGCCCAAGCACCCACTGGCTCAAGACACAGTCACTTGGAAAATCCCAGGCAGGTGCCCCAGCCCCACCCCACCCCACCCCACCCCACCAAGGGGACTGACTCCTGAGGGTCAGGAGCAGCTGGGCTAGCAACACACTCTCAGAGCCTCCCTGTGGCACACAAGGCTCTAATGAAGCTTCTCTGAGGGCAGAGGTGCCAGGCCTCAGGCTGATACCACATAAGTAGCCATGGTAACAGTGAGCAACAAGCTTGAAGGGCAGCCCCACGAGGGGTGCAGCCCACCTTCCTGGCCCCTCTCTGAACCCAGGCCACCCCTGCACACAGAGTGGGGTCCTCAGAAGCTCCCGGGCAGCCCTGCCTGCCCATCTGTCTGGTCAGGAATGCAAGCGCTGAGGCCTCGTCTGTGCCAGGCACCATTCTGGGACCAAGGGCCCAAGGGAGGCAGAAAGAAGGTGTCCAGGGAGGTGTAACCCAGGGAGACTGTGGGGGCCTGGAGGGCTTCACAGGACATTTGGGGGACATGGAGCACTCAGTGTGAGGAAGGCAGAGAAGAGAGAATAGCTCTGAGAGGCCACTGTGGAGCTGGAAAGCCTGTGTCACCAAATGCCCGAGAAGTGACAAGGGAGAAGTGGTTTCCAATCAGCACAGTGAGAAAAGTAGGCCTCGATTAAAAAATAATTCCAGAACTCATAAGGAAAGGGAGATAATATGAATAAGGAAAAGAACACAAGAATTGGGGTCAGAAATGTCCCCAGATGTGAATCCTGGTTCACATTTGCTTGCTGTGTGGCCTTGGACAAGAGACTAAAACCAAGTTAATGCCCTATTGAGACGGGCACGAGACTAGCATCCTCACGAGGTGTGGGGGGCATGAGCTGAGAGCCTGCGGCAGGCAAGGACCCTCCAGATGTTCCTAGAAGCTGATCAAGGCGTGAGTCAGAGCATCAGGAGAGGATGGGACCAGGGACAGCCTAGGCAGTGGCTGGCACTGGGGAGCAGAGATGGAAGGGAAGGCCCAGAGCAGCTGCTCTTGGCCCCTCTCTGCTGCACACCTGAACCCCAGTAGCTGCAGCCATCCTCATGCTCGGGGCCTGCAAGATGCCCCTCACGGGTCCCCTACCCGCTGATGACATGGAACAAACGACAGACAGCATCTTGGCACACAAAAGGTCTCACAGTACTGTGGAAGGAGGAAGGGAGGAAAGAGAGGAGAGAGGGAAGGGAGAAGAGGCCCAGCCAGTCCCAAGGATGGGAAGCTCTGCCACTTGAACTCGGTCCCAGAGGCCTGCACAGGTGGGCCCTGCAGAGGCAGCCTGCTGTCGCTGGCAGCTAAGAATGTGCTGTCCTGCTCCAGGGGTGGAGCCTGGCATGGGACGGAACCAACATTCCCCTCTTGCGCAAGGCAGGCGGGGAGAACTGTGTGGTGCAGAACCTCCGCTCGCCTGGTGGTGGTCTGCGTCCCAGCCTGTGGCCTTCTAAAATGGCTGGATGGGCTAAATTAGGAAGGCCCTGGCTCTCAGGAGCAAGGTTCTGCCTCCAGCTTACAGGTGAGAGGAGGCTGGGCTGGGGCCTCTTCACTTCTCCTGCCTCAGTCAGGACTGATGACGCACAATGTGAAAACAGCAATGGTGTAGGTGAAGACATGACTCCTGAAGAGACTGAGTGGCGGTGACAGGTGCCTACCTGGGAGGACCCTGACCCTGGCTGCAGAGTCCCCACCCCTCCCCAGCTGTATCTCCCCAGTGACCCACTCGCTACCTTCACGGCACCTCCGGCAGGTAGGTGGCCCACATTATCGAGGGATCCCACCTTGGCCTGGGCCTTCTCCTTGAAGTTCAATTTCTGACTTTCAATCTTGACATCTCCTCCACCTGGAACCACAAAGGAACTGGTCACCTACAGTGCCAGAGGAACATCCCTGCAGGCAAAACCAGGACTGGTAATATGCCCAATCTAGAAATGAGAAAAATGTGACCACTTCTGGGTGGCAAACGAAGAGGAACAGTGAACATGCTTGTCTAAAGAGGGCTTTTCCTATCAAAGTGAGGCTGAGACAGTCTCTCCGTTCAGCCAGTGGGAATACCTCCAAGAGAAGGAACGCCAGCTCTACCACTACCCCATGCCACAGCCTCCAGGCCGAAGCCTCTGCTTCTCTACTCGGTGTGGTAACTCCCTCCCACTAACTGGGCCATGCAGTGCTTCTCAGGTACGGCCTCACTGAATTCTCATGAATGCCCTGTCATCACAGCCACGGTCCTTGCTTCACAGCTGGTAAAACTGATGCTGCAAAAGAGAAGCGACTTGCCCAGAGTTACCACCAATCTTGTGATTGACAGAGATTTGTCTGAGCTCCTTAACTGTATCACACTGTAAAGAAAAGAAGGAATGGTAAAAAGGAGAGAGTGACCCTGCTGAGAAAGGAAAGACATGGACCAAGGCAGGCCCGGATCTAGTGCCCTCGGGCTGGGACGGGGAGGGAAGGTGGCCTGAACTCAAGCCCATGGTTCAGAGCCCACTGGCCAGTGTGTGCCCATGAGACCAAGGACTCGGGTGCAGGACAAGTTGCCCTCCCTGAGGACCCAGCCCCTCCTGAGCCCAGCAGCGAGGCTCCCCTTGGGCATCTTCTGTTCTTCTGTCTCCTCTCAGCTCACAGGGCAGACCTCTACCCCTGGACTCCTGGCTGAGGTCTCCGGTATACCACACTGGAGACCCAGCCCTGGCAGAAACTTGACCCTAAGTGACTCAGTGTCACTAGAGAAGGAAGTATCTCATAGGAGTAGATTTCCCAGATAAAAGGGAAAAAAATGGTTAAGGACCAAACTGTTTTGATCTTTCTAAATAGAACCCATTCCAAACTGGATCACACTCTTTTGCTGAGAAGAGAAGGGAGGTTTTTTTTTTTTTTTTTTTCAGGGTGGAGTCTCACTCTGTTGCTCAGGCTGCAGTGCAGTGCCACAATCTTGGCTCACTGCAGTCTCTACCTCCCCGGTTCAAGCAATTCTCCTGCCTTAGCCTCCAAGCAGACCTGGGACACCAGGTCTGCTGGCCAGTGTGCCTGCTGCTGCAGCAGTCCTTCCCTACCCACGAATCTGCTGTAGATCTAGGACACATGAGGCTGCCAGGGTACTCCCCATGGCAAGAGCCCAGGCTCTGCAGAGAGACTTCCACAGGCGCGCTGGGTCAGCCATGTTGCTAGAAGGAGACTGCATTAGTGCAAGTGCAAGATCCACGTCTGCAGGCCAAGGAAACTTTGTTGAATGCCTCCCATTCTCCTGCCAGGGCTAGAGGCTGATGCTTCACTGCTTGGGAGTAACCTTTGCTCCTGAATCTGACAGGTGGGACCTGACCACTGTTCTCTACAGAACTCCTTCAGCATTAGTTCCTGTAATGCTCGTTTAGAGCCAACCCAGGTTCTCAGCCCAGAGTGCACTTCTCTCCCCGGCCTAGCTCAATCGTACCACTCACACAGTAGGTACTTAAGAGAATGCTTGTGCAGATGGCAGTAGTAACAAACTGCTCCTACTCCACTGAGAGGTTAGCATCTGAACTCCCGCTCCCTGACAGAATGAGGACTGTGTTGTTTCCACTGCTGTGTCCTGGGTAGGTGGGTGTTGACGAGTCTTCATCGGATGCTAAAGGCACAAGGATGAAACCCTTGCCAGCCAGTGGGCTGCCCAGCTGGCCCATGGCAGGACTGCATACCCCAGGAGTCCCAGTGGGCAACGGGGGCGCCACTCACCAGGCTTGTGCTTGATGTTAGCCTTAGACCCACACTTGGAGGAGACCTTAGAGATGTCCACTTTCTTGTTCTGAATCTGAACCTGAGGAGGACACAAAAGACTCCTTCAGAGAGAGGGTTTATTTTCAGAGCCAACTCCATGCTACCTTTTAAATCTCCATGTTCAGGGTTTCTCTCTCCCTCAATAAGCTATCATCTCAGTCTGTTCAAAGACAGGGTCATCTGTCTAAGTACTTAAAACAGCCCTCAACCCACCCGGGCCCTGCTCTTTTTAGACAGTCTTGCTCTGTCGACCAGGCTGGAGTACAGTGGTATGAGCTTGGCTCACTGCAACCTCCTTCTCCTGGGTTCAAGCAATTCTCCTGTTTCAGCCTCCCGAGTAGCTGGGATTACAGGCATGCACCACCACACCTGGCTAATTTTTTGTATTTTTAGTACAGACAGGATTTCACCATGTTAGCCAGGCTGGTCTTGAACTTCTGACCTCAGTGATCCACCCGCCTCAGCCTCCCAGAGTGCTAGGATTGCAGGTGTGAGCCACCATACCCAGCCTTCACCGTTTCCACGTCCCACAGGCCTTTCTGTGTAGACCCTGTCCGACACCAACAAGGCTCCCATGAAACATCCCCTTTGTTCCATCTCAAAACCCTACCCATCAACTCCTTACCCAGAGAAACCTGGAATAACGTATTTACTTCCAGTCCTTTTCAATGCATTTGCGTATGCGTGCGTGTGTGTGTGTGTGTGTGTGTGTGTATCTAGTGTTCCTGCTTAATCCATGTTATAACAATTTTCCCAGCCAGGTGCAGTAGATCACGCCTGCAATCCCAGCACTTTGAAAGGCCAAAGCAGGAATATCACTTGTGGCCAGGAATTCGAGGCCAGCCTGGCCAACACAGTGAAACCCTATGTCTACTAAAAATACAAATATTTGCATTTAAAGACGGTGCATCTTTAAGTCTACAGCCACGCGTGCCCTCTGGGTTGCTGGATGGGGATTCCAGCATTCCTGTGAGTGGCCCTGCTGTCCTTCGGTAGGTACTACAGGAGAGCCTGGATTCCAACACGTCAACTCCACAGAGTGTCGCACTGTTCTGGTGGGTTCCACCACAATCTGTTAAAGGGTGAAGAGCCTTTCCGAGCCCTGTCGTCCTTTCTCTGGTGTCAGGAAATATGGTCTTCACCATGTTCCCATAGGACAGATATAATGCCACCTGTATTTTTGTATTTGCACCCACAGACCAAGGCCTGGCACAGAATAACTACCCATAATTACTAGCTTGCCAGAGCCATTCTCACTCTTGCCTCTAAAACTCAGCTCATGCCTAACCCGGCAAGCCCATGATGATGTTTTCTTCCCCATCCTCCAATGCCCAGTTCAAAGGGTCCCTTCCATACAGCCTTGCATAGCTTTTGCTTCAATCCGTCCCTTCCTCACATCATCTCTTGAAGGGACACCACCAGGAACTGTACTGTGATTGCTTCAGGTGTCTGATAATCACATAAAGAGTAGTTACTACTGTGAAAACACACAGCCTCTACCTTGTCTCATCTTTTCAAAAAGTCTGCAATTTTCCCTAGACATAAATTTTTTTCTTTTCTCCTCATTATACAGATATTTACAGGTATCTCCAAAATGGAAGTTTAGGATACAGCACAGATACCTCCTTCTAAGCATGAGCTGATGGCAAATTGAGCCCTGCAGCTACAGAGCTGCTGGTCACACCATTGTAAGTGCTTTATCTGGGTTTACAACAAGATATCTTGTTATTTGTTAGGGGGAGAAATGGCCAATTCAAGAAGAGGGACCATGAAGGCCTCATCCAAACATCTCCCTATCCTTATCCCTCATGAGAGGGGGCGTAAGGAAAGGTACTTTACAACCAAAGATCTGGTAGTTGCTTAAAGCAACCCAACATGGGTCTTGACGCAGTGGTGACAAGCTCATCTTGCACTGTAACCCCAACAGCACCTGCAAGAAGTTAACAGAGTCACTCTCCAAGGCCTAGGCCCTTACCAAGATGGAGAGCCACACACTTCTTTTGGTTTTGAGACAGGGTCTCACTCTATCGCCCAGGCTGGAGTCCAGTGGCATAATCTCAGCTCACTGCAGCCTCAACCTTGACCCCAGGCTCAAGTGATACTCCTGCCTCAGCCCCTCAAGTGGCTGAGACTACAGGCACATGCCACCATGATCAGCCAATTTTTGTATTTTTTGTAGAGACAGGGTTTTGCCATGTTGCCCAGGCTGGTCTTGAATTTCTGGGCTGAAGCAATCTACCTGCCTTGGCCTCCCAAAGTGCTGGGATTACAACTGTGAGCCACTGCATTGGCCAGAGCCACAGATTTCTTGACAGTGTTCCGTATTTGAAGCCTGTTTCTCTTGACCTCTTGTCTAGGTGGCAATTAAAGAATGGTTAAGGGCAGTTTCACTTTACAGATGTATTCCAGCTAGTAAATGAAGAAGTAATACTAGAATTAGAGTCTTACCATGCATGCCTACTAAACCGACAGGTCCAGGAATTGCCAACATCACAAAAAATGAGACAATTGAAGAATGAGACATGAATGTTATTTCTCACAGAATAAACCTCACTACCTACTTACATGTTATGCTAGCATGTGGGCAAAAAAACAAACCTAAATAAATTTAAAGAAAATTGAGGGACGAAGAAATATGTTAACTAAAACCATGAGGATGTAATTAGCAGAATCCAGATTCAAGGCCAAACCACTCACTTTACTCATCAGGAAAATTACCAGCAAAAAAAGAATGAGCCAGGGATAGTGGCTCACGCCTGTAATCCGAGCACTTTGGGACGCTGAGACAGGTAGATCATTTGAAGTCAGGAGCTAAAGACTAGCCTGCCTAACACGGTGAAACCAAGTCTATGAAAAACACAAAAGTTAGGTGGGGCGCAGTGGCTCATGCCTGTAATCCCAGAACTTTGTGAGGCCAAGGTAGGTGAATTCCCTGAGGCCAAGAGTTTGAGATCAGCCTGACCAAAACGGTGAAACCCCATCCCTACAAAAAATACAAAAATTAGCTGGGTGTAGTGGCAGGTGCCTGTAGTCCCAGCTACTCAGGAGGCTGAGACAGCAGAATTATTGAATCCAGGAGGCGGAGGTTGTAGTGAGCTGCTACTGTGTGACTGCACTCCAACCTGGGTGACAAAGCGAGGCTCAGTCTCAAAACAAAAACAAAAAACAAAACAAAAAAACCAAAAGTTAGGTGGATGTGGTGGTGCACGTCTATAATCCTGGCTACTCAGGAGACTGAGAGAGGAGAATCAATTGAAACTGGGAGGCGGAGGTTGCAGTAAGTCAAGATCGCGCCACTGCACTCCAGCCTGGGTGACAGAACAAGACTCTGTCTCAAAACAACAACAACAACAACAACACCCTATGTATTCCACACCATGAAACAGATGTAGCTTCTGACATAAGAATCCTATATTGGGGGCCGGAAGTAGTGGCTGTCATCTGTAATCCCAGCACTTTGAGAGGCTGAGACAGGTGAATCACGAGGTCAGGAGATCGAGACCATGTTGGCTAACACGGTGAAACCCCGCCTCTACTACATATACAAAAAATTAGCCGGGTATGGGGGCACACACCTGTAGTCCCAGCTACTTGGAAGGCTGAGGCAGGAGAATTGCTTGAATCCAGGAGGCGGAGATTGCAGTGAGAGCTGAGAAGTCCTATGTTAGGAATACATCCTAGAGAAATTAACTTGAAATTTAAAGCTTTTCATACAAAATCATTATTATTGTTAATTTTCTTTTCTCAGATGGAGTCTCGCTCTGTCGTCCAGGCTGGAGTGTAATGGCGCAATCTGGGCTTACTGTAACCTATGCCTCCTGGGTTGAAGTAATTCTCCCACCTCAGCCTCCTGAGTAGCTGCGATTACAGGCGCATGCCACCACACCCAGCTAATTTTTGTATTTTTAGTAGAGACATGGTTTCACTGTGTTGGCCAGGCTGGTCTCAAACTCCTGACGTCACGATCTGCCTGCCTTGGCCTCCCAAAGTGCTGATAAAATTATTTCAGGCCGGGCTCAGTGACTCACACCTGTAACAGCAGTACGTTGGGAGGCCTTTTTTTGTAGAGACGGAGGGTCTCACTATGTTGCCCAGCCTGAGGGCTCACCATTTTAAACTGCACATTTGCTTGTGGTGGCTTTAGGGAGGAGGTTACAGAAGGAAACAAAGCACCTGGGTCCAGCTGTGGCCAGCTGCTGTTTACCCTCATCCTTCTTCTGGGAAATACTGCTCACAGTAGTCTCCTAATGCTCTCTGTTTAAGGAAGCCTCCTAAAGTACAAAGACTTTAAAAATACATTTGCCTTCAAAAAAAAAACCAAACAAACAAACAAAAAAACCCCTACACATGTGAAGTCATGTGTCGGCAGTGTGAAAAGATCACAGCAGGTGATACATAAATGATGACTATTTTCAGAGCTCTTATATTCACCACACAACACACACAAATACATCTCTATGTCTCACCTACACAAGTGACCCGGTTCCCTCAGAACCCCTGTTCACCTTCTGTTTTCATCCAGGCCAAAGCCAGGAGAAGCCAGGCTCAGCAGCTGCCTGGGCCCCTCATGGGCTGGATCTTTGTCACCTCACTTCAGCTGATCTGACTAATGTCTGGTTAAGCAACTCCACACGAGGATGCCACTTCTACCCAGACCAGGAAGAGGCAGTGGTGAGAAGATGACAAGGAAGGAGGGGTAAGAAGGAGAGTTGTGTGGGGCAAGAATGAAAGCTCATGGCCACACTCCTCACAATGCTGGGGGTGTCTGTAGGCCATGGCAGAATGTCATGACCACCAAGGAGGAGGCAGGGGTGTTACAGAGTATAGAAATGAAAAGGGTTAAGTGGAGCAGGACCTAGTCTGGTTCAGGACAGCAAGGAGAAAGAACCAAATGAACTCAAAAGAAATGGAGGCAGGGGTTGTGCGTGGTGGCTTCTGGGGCCTCTGGCACAACTCCACAGAGTGCCACTTGCCTGGGCACTGTGACAGCGACAAGTGGAAAGCACACAGGGTGTTCTTCACACACTGAACAACAGTAAGACTTTGCCCTATCTCTCCCTAGACCAGAACCTCCCTGTGAGCTGGAATCACCTGTGTCCCCAACACACATCATAGAGCTGGCACACAATGGCAGCATGACAAAAAGAAGGATGGTTGGCTGGAAGAGGAAAGAGGACCAAAAGATAAGGAGGGAAAAGGGACTGAAGAAGGAATGAGGGGAAGAAAAAGGAGGAAGGGGCTGGGTGCGGTGGCTCACGCCTGTAATCCCAGGGCTTTGGGAGGCTGAGGCGGGTGGACCACGAGGTCAAGAGATCAAGACCATCCTGGCCAACATGATGAAACCCTGTCTCTACTAAAAAATACAAAAAATTAGCTGGGTGTGGCAGCGCATGCCTGTAGTCCCACCTACTCGGGAGGCTGAGGCAGGAGAACTGCTTGAACCCGGGAGGCAGAGATTGCAGTGCAGTGAGCTGAGATTGTGCCACTGCACTCCAGCCTGGCAAAAGAGCTAAACTCTGTCTCAAAAAAAAAAAAAAGAGGAAGGGATTAGAAAAGGGGGAAAAAAAAAGGAAAAGTAGAAAGGGAAATGGGAGAAGGTAGAGAGAGAAAAGAAGAAAAGAGGAAAAAAGAGAGGTAGAGAGCAAAAGATAAAGGAAAATGTGGGGAAGGGATAGGAGAAAAATGTTAATTCTGATTTTATAGTAACAAGGATTCAAAGGTGAGCTCTGGAAAGATCTGGACATCTGTCTCAAAGCAGGGACTTCTACGGCAATTCAAGGGCATACAGACACACATATGTATCCCAGGAACGAACTCTGGACAGGCAACAGATCTGCTGCTAACCACTGCCCTCAGACCAGGCTCTGACATAGCTGGAGGAAAATCCAAACCCTCCCACCCACATGGGTGAAAAGCTACCCAGTGGATATCACCATGCTGGTGTTCAGAGGCTCGCCAGAAACACCCTGTCTAAACATATGGGAGTGTCGAGGTCCCCTCACTTTGCTAGACTGCTTGTTAGAGAATGCCCCAGCCCAGGCCACTGGGATTCTGTCCACATGGGCACCTGGTCCTCTCCCCAGTACAACCTCACAGTGGGCTATGCCTCAGATTCCAGCTAACCAGAGCTGATACTTACATTACCACCTCCAGGGACATGCTTAATATTGTCCTTGGAACCACACTTGGACTGAATATGGCTGTAGCTCACTTTTTTGGAGACTATCTGGACCTGGAATGTTAGAAAACAGAAAAAACAACACGGGAGAGGACTGGTTAGAACTGACACAGGGCAGGCAGTGAGTCTACACGTGATCACAATGACCAACAAAAAGTGTTGTTAAACCTCCACCCCCACCTTCTGCACAACAGGTGTGGAAAAGCAGGTGTGGAAAAGAAATGCGAAAGAGCAAGAGGGGAGTAAAAAACGTGAACAGACAACACGACAACAGGAGCAGAGCTGCACAGGCGCTGCGTGTTGGTCATCACCACTCCTCGGGGGCAGGGCTGTGGTGCACAAGGACCAGGCAGCAGCAGGCCCCTGATGCCCAACCAAGCACAGCCCCACCTCCTTGCTCTGCTCCCTCCTCAAGAGCTGGGCACGGTGTCCTTGGCTCTTCTCTGCAAGAGTCCTATCATGTGGACCTATTCTCACCCAATAAATCTGGGCTCTGGAATGGCTGCAGCCAAACTCACTCTCAGAAGCAAAGGCTGCTCTGAGAAGCACTGGGCAGCTGGCAACAAGGGCACAGATGATACTAACAGGAAGGAGAGGTCAGTGCTCAGATGTGAATACAAATGGATACATACAGAATCTCTGATACCAGGGGAGCAGCTGCACCCTCCACACTTAGCCCATTTGTCTTAGGGCTCGAGAAAGCATAGTAGTTTTGACTCAAGGGTAAAATACCTTCTTGAATCCTCCGTATGCCTAGTCCTCTACCCTGTGAGATTCCCATGAGGACAGAAGAGGCTCTAAGCAGGGCAGCAATGTTACCCAATCCTGGAGACACAGTCACACTGTATAATACAGGAATGGCTCCCCCTGGAACTGAGAAACACCAAGGCCCTGGCTCTAAGAGTCTAGAACAAAGAATCCTAGGAACGTTCTCAAGAAGGAATAGTTGCCAACTCCCTTTCTTTGCAAATGATGCAGCCTCCTGGCTGAAGAGTTCAGAGTACAGAAATCCATCCTGAGAAACTCCAACCCATAGACCTCATTGTACCTACTCATTTCTAGCCTTTTTCACAACTTTGATGGTGAACAAGTGGTTATCACACAGTACTTCTTAATGAGCATTGGTCTGAACCTAGGACCTCTAGTAGTCACTCAGAAGCCATGGTGTAGACTTCTTTACCATATGAATGCTCTGGGCTGAGACTTCCCATGCTGATCCCAAAAGGCTGGAGCTTAGGCTTCTCTGGCAGAGAAGCACACCTACCTGCAGCAGCTAAGGAAGGAAGGTGTTGCAAGCACTCAGGAAGAACCTGGATTCCGGTACAGAGGCAAGGGGAAAGAACCTATGGTTTCAGCTTACCTCTGCCCTCTAGGTGATGCTGCATGCCTATACTAAGTGGGTTTCCATTGGGAATGAGCATCCTAACTTGCAGTTAAGAGGCAACCTGGGGAACCAGGGCAAATGGCGTTATCTCCATACCCAGCAGCATTATCAGAGGAATCTTTTAGTTCAAGGTAAAGCACAGGGTCTCCAGGGTTCTAGGTGGTGGAAATTACCCCTGCCATGTCTTCCTGATAACGAACATGGGTGTGCTGTATTTGCATCTATACAAGGTAGGTTTCACATCAAGGTTGGTGTGAAGGAAGTGAATGAAAGTCTTTGGATCCACTTTATCCAGCCAAAAAAAAAAAAATAATAATAATAATAATCCAAAGGGCTAATGGGCTCCCAACTCTATTAACTTTGAAGGTTAATACAAAAACTTTTCTGATGGCTGAGTCATCAAGTACAGAGAAGGGAATATGAGGGTTAAGAAACAGAAACTACTAAAGGATAGGGAAAAAGTGCAAGAGAGGGCAAGTGGCTCAGGCTGGAAGAAGTATTTTACCATCTTCACCTTCCAGAGGTGGGTCTAAATAAAACTCACTTTCCCCGCAGGTGGTTTCTGTGCACTTGCAATTGGGCCGGCTGTTTTAGTGACTGCATTAGATTCAGGCTTTCGAGTTGTAGCAGTTGCCTCTGTTTTTTTCTCTACTTTGGCCTGGATGGAGATAAAGGGAGGGCAAATTTCAAATCAAGAGGATAAGAGCTCAAATGCCAAGAAGGGAAGAAGGCTGTAGGGGACTCAAATCCAGGTCAGGCCACCAGGTAAAAGCAGGTGGCCTTTGATCCTAGCAAAATCACACATTTCCCAGATTAGACCAAGCCACAGATACTTGAATAGAGGACCACAAAAAAGAGGAGCTACAGGCCATAGTCTTTGAGACATGAGGAACAGATCAAGACACAAAGAAAGGCTAAGACAGCCAAACTAGTGATTCTTAGAGCATGCTAGGGCATGATTATCCAATTACAATGCCCACCCCCCATGCTCAATGTTCTGATAGTCCCCAAGCAGCTGCCATGGTCACAGGGAGTCAATACTGATGACAGAAATTGTCACATGCTTCAGGTAGGTATGCGAGAGCAGAAAACAATTCACTAGACCAAGTCACTTAACTCCTCACCCAAGACCTCTTGTAACTTTTGCACCATGTAACCGTAAGAGCAAAGGCAGGGGGAGACAGGCCATCAGTAGCACAGTCCAGAGGCCTGCTGAGCATGCCAGAGCCACTGTCACTACCAAAAGCAACTTTCAGGCTCTTATCCAGACTGATCCCAGCTTGCCATCAGAGTCTTCCAGTGACACCAGGATTCTGCCTCATTTTTGTCCCTCCTAAATTTCTTAAGAGCTCTGGAATAAGCAATTTAAATATTCTGCCCTGGAAGGTGGTGGTGGTGTAGAGATGGTGAATACCTAGGAGATGAGATGGTCACTGCTCCAAGGACCTGAACATTCTCAGATGGACTTTCATCACCATCTTTTCCACACACATAGTTCCCATGGTTAAAAGTTAAATAATTCTGGGATTGGCTGGGTGCTCACACCTGTATCCCCGCACTTTGGGAGGCCAAGGCGGGTGGATCACAAGGTCAAGAGGTTAAGACCATCCTGGCCAACATGGTGAAACCCCATCTCTACTAACAATACAAAAGTTGGCTGGGTGTGGCAGTGTGCGCCTGTAGTCCCAGCTACTTGGGAGGCTGAGGCAGAAGAATAGACTGAACCTGGGAGGCAGAGGTTGCAGTGAGCTGAGATTGCGCCACTGCACTCCAGCCTGGCGACAGTGAGACTCCGTCTAAAAAACAGTAATAATTCTGGGATTGATGCAACTGGAAAATCTTAAAAGTGAAGCACTGTGATCTGCTGTGCCTTTCTCCCTATATCCAGTGCAGTCCTGTTGTTTAGGAAAGCCAAAGGCTCACAGCATGACTCATCCTGGCCACAAGAGGATACCTTAGTCCTCTTTCAGATAGATTTCACTCAAGTCATGGGTTGTGGAACTAAGAGGTGTTCTACCTTCTGCCTATCCTGACATTCTCTGTGCAGGGTAAGAATCATGAAAAATGGCTGGGCGCAGTGGCTTACTCCTGTAATCCCAGCACTTTGGGAGGCTGAGGCAGACAGATCACAAGGTCAGAAGATCGAGACCATCCTGGCTAACACAGTGAAACACCGTCTCTACTAAAAATACAAAAAAAAAAAAAAAATTAGCCAAGCATGGTAGCACATGCCTATAGTCCCAGCTACTCGGGAGGCTGAGGCAGGAGAACAGCTTGAACTCGGGAGGTGGAGGTTGTGGTGAGCTGAGATCATGCCGCTGCACTCCAGCCCTGGTGACAGAGCCAGACTGTCTCAAAAAAAAAAAAAAAAAAAAAAAAGAACCATGAAAAACTAGGCTTGCCAGGCACGGTGGCGTGTGCCTATAGTCCCAGCTACTCAGGAGGCTGAGGAGTGATGATTGCTTAAGCCCAGGAGTTCTGGGCTGTAGTACACTATGTCGATTGGGTGTCCACACTAAGTTCAGCATTAGTATGTGACCTCCTGGGAGCGGGGGACCAGCAGGTTGCCTAAGGAGGGGTGAACCGGCCCAGGTTGGAAATGGAGCAGGTCAAAACTCCCGTGCTGATCAGTAGTGGGATCGCGCCTGTGAATAGCCACTGCATTCCAGCCTGGGCTACATAGCAAGATCCCGTCTCTTTAAAAAAATAAAATTAAAATAAAAAAAAAGAAAAAGAAAAACTAGGCTGTCTCTCATCCTTGCAGAGTCTCTGAGGCCTCCTCTGTTTCTTCTATAAAAGAAAGAACCCCTCCCACCACCGCTTTTTTTCTTTTGAGATGGAGTCTCGCTCTGTTGCCCAGGCTGGAGTGCAGTGGTGCGATCTTGGTTCACTGCAACCTCTGCCTCCTGGGTTCAAGCAATTCTCTGCCTCAGCCTCCCAAGTATCTGGGATTACAGGCACCCGTCACCATGTCCAGTTAATTTTTATTTGTATTTTTAAAAGAGATGGGGTTTCACCATATTGGCCAGGCTGGTCTTGAACTCCTGACCTTGTGATCTACCTACCTCAGCCTCCCAAAGTGCTGGGATTACAGGCATGACCCACTGCACCCGACCAGAATCCTTTTACATCCAAGCAAAACTGTAAACCCAGAACCCAACATCTAGAACAGGAGCCTCTCTTATTGAGACAGGAAGAGAAAGTCCAGAGCTCTGCCTACTCTGCTTTCCTGCTGCTGGGGCACAAAACCCACTATGGAGCCCAGGCTGAAATATCCTGATACTGAGTCCAGTGTCCTAACTGGCCCCTTCTTTGGTGGGCCTAGGAACAGCGGGTGGAGATGGAGGGGAGGATTCAGAGGCCAGCAATGCCAGGACCCCAAGCTCCCTGGACCCACCCGGCCTCCTCCAGGCTGATGCTTGATGTTTTCCGTGGAGCCAACCTTGGAGCGGACATTCTTCAGATCAGGAGCAGAAGCATTGGTGGCCAGGCGGCTGAGTCTGGGGGTGGTGGAGCTGGGCTTGGCCGAGGTGGGCTTCTTGTCTATGGAAGGAGTTGTGGAGGGCCGAGATGGCACAGGTGTGGGCTTTACTCGGGTGGGAGCCACCCCTGCAGCAGGGGCTGTCCCACCAAGAGTGGTGGTTTTCTTCATGGAACTGGTGGAGGTGCTCTTGGGGCGAGTCAAGTCAGCTGCAAAGGAGTGAGAGAACACGGGTTCAGGGGCAGAGAGAAAAAGGGACACATAGTGCACAGAGGAGGAGGAACTGGGGGTTCAAGTTAGGGCTCTACAAAATGGCAGATGGGCTATTACCTGGAACAGACTTTGCAGTCATCTTCTTGACTTCTGCAGGTTTTCCCTCAGTCTTAATGGCTGTACAAAATATACTTATTAACATAACATTTAACAAACTGACCTGTTGGATGGTGCATCCAATATTGAGATTTCTCATTTTTTTTTTTTTTTTTAAACGGAGTCTCACTCTTGTTACCCAGGCTGGAGTGCAATGGCGCAATCTTGGCTCACCGCAACCTCCGTCTCCTGGGTTCAGGCAATTCTCCTGCCTCAGCCTCCTGAGTAGCTGGGATTACAGGCACGCGCCACCATGCCCAGCTAATTTTTTGTATTTTTAGTAGAGACGGGGTTTCACCATGTTGACCAGGATGGTCTCGATCTCTCGACCTCGTGATCCACCTGCCTCGGCCTCCCAAAGTGCTGGGATTACAGGCTTGAGCCACCGCGCCCGGCCGAGATTTCTCATTATTTAACAATTACTGAATGTCTACTTTGAGCCAGGAACTGTGTTAGTGCCTGGGAATGGAGTGGTAAATTAGATGGCCAGGCACTGTGTCTTATTCTTTCCTACTGCTCTGAAAACACCTTCTATGTGGCCTTAGAAGTAGGCTGTCAATACATGCCTACGGACTTGAGTAGCCCTCTGCTTATCATCATGTAAGCCCATGTCCACAAAGTGCTAGGTGCTGTGGAGTTACTAAGAAGGCAAGAGTAAATTCTACCTGGAAATACATGAGCGGTACCTTTTTCTTTCTATTTTCACTCAAGATTTTTCTGAATACACACAACTGCTAAGCTCACAGAGAGATGAAGGCTTGTTAGGTACTAGGCCCACCAGGCTACTATTGTTCCAGGCAGCCCACTCAGGACTGGTGCCTAGGCAGGCCTGCACAGCTGTTTGTGATGCTGGCTAGAGCAATGGTGAAGGCAAAGCCAAGACCCCATTTTCCCCTCCCTAGTTCCCATGGGACAGAAAGACAGGCAATACTCACTAGTGGGCTTCTTGGGAAGGAGCGTGGAGGGGCTCCTACTGCTTGGCCCAGTTGAGGCAACAGCGGCAGCTGTTGTGGCTTTTGGAACAGTCTGAGTGCTCTTGGATCCAGATCTGGAGGCTGGGGCAGAAGCTGGCTTGGATGGTGAGGCCCGCTTCTCAGGAGCCTTTGCTTCTGCAATGGGCTGGAAATAGGGAAAGTGGGAGTGAGGCCTGGAGGTCAGCAATAGTCACAGGCAGTCACACTACATGATGCTTCTATACAAGCATGTACCAGAGAACAGGAGGTACTGTGGGTTCAGCAGCTACTGACAGGAAAATATATATGGTTCTAAAAGCAAAATCCTCCACATAAAGCAACAAACTGGCCAGGTAGGGTACTATGTGATCTGAGGGCAGGTAACACGGAGTAAAACGACTTCAATCCAACCTAAGTCAGTGAGAATAAGTAGCCCTGAAGGGTACATCGCCACAACCTACATTTGCCTCTGGATCTACTGCATTATATATTAATATATATGTATGTATATTTTAATGTAACCTCTGTAGAAATGCCCAAAATACTAATGTATTTAATGTAACAAAATCTAATGTATTATACTTAAGATTAAACACATACACAAACAAAAAACCAAAAATTGTGTTCAGTCAAATTGAGCCATTCTTTTGGCTAACACACACCTAGAGAATACTGAACAGGACTGAGCTGCAGATGGAGAGGCCACTGGCCAAATCTGGGCCAGAAGCGTGAGCTGCAGCCCTACTCCAACAAATCACTGAGCCTCTGAGCTTTATTTCCTCATCAGGATAGAGATTAGAACAGAGGGTCATTAAGGACCAGCTTTGATAATATGTGATGTCAGGGAATAAAGGATGAAAGGTCTCAGCACAGAGATGATGAGAAGAGGCAGTCCAGACCAACAGAACGGATAAAGAGCACTGATATCACAGCTATGGTCCAAGAGCAAAAGCGAAAAAGTCTCTCAAGGGTAGATGCTTGGCATCTGGGTCACTCTAGTTCCTTTTACATGAAGGCTGGGAACAACATCACTAGTGAGGAAGGGAAAGAATCAATTTAGCCTGGTTTCTATGGGGTTAGGGGATGAAGACACTATTGTGATAAACAAATGTACCATAATACTCAAGAGAGTAAGCCAAACCACAGACACACTGGGCCCAGCTCTCTTCCTCCCAAGACAAGTGGCTATACAGAGGGCAGTATGTAGGTAGAGACAAGCAGGATATTGTTAAATGGAAAAATCAGCTAAGGAGGTACTTAGAAATTAAGGGCTGGCATCCAATCAAATGAAGTCTAACTCTGCAAATGTAGGATAATGACTATTTCCACAAATAAAGGCCCTAAGTACGGTGTGAAGAACTCTAAGGCTGGAATCAGGGGAAGTGGTTCTGCTACCAGCTGTGCTGGAAACATGTAGGATTCTGGGCAGAGGGGTTCCCTTTCCTATTGCTCTAAAATTTGAGGACTAAACCAGATGCTTTCTGGGATATGCATCAAAATTTTAACACTATGACTATTATTCAGAATAGCCTAGCATAGTTCTACTACTTTCCCAGTAAGGGTAATAATGATAAAGTAAGTTAGAAAAAAGTTATGTGGGATAGAAATCTCAATCCTTCAGATGTCAGGCTCTTCCTGGCTTCAACAACCTACAGAACTTAACTGGAGCTATTCTGCTGTTTCCCAATTTACATCTTCTTCTCTGCCAGAATCATAATCTACTGATTTTTTTTCTGAATAGGTTTTTCTCCCTGTTTGCCTCTACAAATCTTTCTACCAAAAATAAGCTGCAGATGAAGAGGTCACTGGGCAAATCTGGGTCAGAAGCCTGGGCTGTAGTCCTGGTCCGGCCCCTTAACTCTCAGTGTGTTCTTGGGCAAATCACTGGGCCTCTCTAAGCTTTATTTCCTCATCTGGGTAAAACAGATTATAACAGGTCCAGTGCAGAAGGTCATGCTTGTAATCCTAGCAAACTTTGGGAGGCTTCGGTGGACAGATCACCTGAGGTCAGGAATTTGAAACCAGCCTGTCCAACATGGCAAAACCCCATCGCTACTAAAAATACAAAAATTAGCCTGGCATGGTGGTGGGAGCCTGTAATCCCAGCTACTCAGGAGGCTGAGACATGAGAATTGCTTGAACTCGGGAGGCGGAAGTTGCAGTGAGCAAGATTGTGCCAGTGCACTCCAACCTGGGTAACAGAGTGAGGCTCCATCTCTAAATAAATAAATAAATAAATAATAAATAAATAAATAAATAAATAAAAATAAATAAATAAATAAATAAAAATAAATAAATAAATAAATAAATAAA